CCGGCCCTGTCAACGCGCCGTGTCCGCCCGCGGCGCGGCGAGCGCCGAGATCCTGGGCATGGGGTTTGCGCCCGTGAGGGCCCTCATGCTGCCCTGGGGTTGTAGCCCCTTCGGGTGACAGGCGCCTGTCGAGGTGGAGGCCGCGCTGCTTGTAGCGCTCCCTTGACTTGGGCTCCTCAGTTAACTAATATTCTCAGAGAGAAAATCGATGTTGTGAGGTTAAAGCTGTGAAATGGCAGTGCTTTGGGTATGTCGCCACGACGACACGGTTGTTTTGCTCAAGGATGGGGTTTTCTCTCATGGGCCTTACTGTGAGTGATGGCATCTGAGGTTCTCCCGGTGCTGCTGGGCTCCCTTCTTCCCACCCGGCTCCAATCCTGGCTCCTGCTTCCTTTATGCCTAGGTTAATCTGCACTCGCATCCTGGTTCAGCTGACTTGTTAGGTACTATTACTTTTGACTATAAAAATCTGAGGAAGGGGGTGTAAAAATGATTTCCTTTATAAAGCTCTTATGTGGTCAAAGATGAGCAGTGAGGAATGGAAGTAAGGGGGCAAATACCCAGAGCTGCTGCTGTTGTGAAACCAGGGGTGCTTTGGTTGTACCTACCCCTCCGCTTCGGGACCAGTGTCCAGAACCTTCTCCAAACCGGAATGCTGAGAAGCAGGAGAGAGCAGGAGGCTCTGCTGGAAGCCGACCAGAGGTGGTGGAACTTCAGGTGAATCTGCACAGGGGGAATAAAACAATTTACAGGACAACTTAGAATATGATCCTTGGAAAGGTCTGCCGGATAAAAGCGTTGGTGTGGCTCGGATGTGAACACGGATGCGGAGCGAGCTGGAGCTGGGTGTAGCTCATGGCTGTAGGCTTCATGCCCTGGTCTCTTGTTCTTGGTCTCCGCTTGCAGGGCCCTCTCCAAATAACTTACAGGAGGACGTGGTTGTTATGCAGAGGTAATCACACCGCTCGGTGCCGTGTTGAACTGCACCTTTGAGTGAGGTTTGACCGTTCAAAATCTGCTGAATTTTATGCCTTAACCACCAAAAGGGAAGGAAGCTCTTCAGTGCGCTAGCAATTTTCTTTTTCCTTTAGGAATTTCAGCAAAGATGAAACATTTGGTTTCACTGTGCAGGGGAAAACAATAATAATAATAACAATGATAAAATCTGTTCCTGGTACATGTTTCTATAGCAATCTGATGCTTTTGCATAACTGTTGTAAATAAGTGGCATGTTAGGCTGTTTGTTTGGAGGCGACTGCAGCAATGTGACTGTGATTGCGCCACGTTACCGCCTGCGCTGCGTGTGGGTACAGCCGAATTTGCAGCTCTTAATCCATAGGTGGTTAATCCCGGCCCTGGCTGTATCGCAGAGCGGATTCTTTTTGGGTGGTGACCCTCCAGCCTCGCCGTTCTTACCGCTATATCAGGCAGAAGAAGTCAGGTCCCGTACGTGCTGCTGCAGCACTCGAGTCAGCTGTTTGAAGGGCTCTCCCAAAGCGTAGCCTGTTAAAATGCAATATTTTAAAAAACCTGTCACGGGGAGGAATTAACATTCCAGAAATGACCGTTTTTTCTGTCTTAATGGATAAACGTAGACAGATAATTTTTTCGGTAGTTGGCTAGGATAAAACTCTCCCTCCTCCCCTGCTTTCTACTCAAAACCGGCTTTTTTTTTTTTTTTGTTCCCTTGTTCTTTCTGCAGCAGTGTTTTATGTGAAGGATGCTCTAAAAAAAAAAGCGGAGAAAAAAAAAAGCAGAAAAAGAAAACAAGGATTGAAGATCATTTTACAAAGGAAGAAAGATTCTTTAGGGAGAAAATATATATATATATGTAGGTATTTTTTTCTGCCGCGCTTGGCACCCTTTCGCTGGCCCACGTGCGCCTGGCGCGGTGCCGCCCTTGGCAGCGGCCGCCCCTCGGCTTGCCAGGAGGCTTCCTGCCCTGGCCGCGCTCGCGCTCCCGGCCTGGTTATTCACCTGATTTCCCTTCTGTTCCAGCGCGGCCGCGGTCGGGGCGTCTCGGAGCCGGGAACGCGGCGGTGCCCGTGCCCGGCGCCGCTTCCCGGGGCCTCGGAGCCCCTTGGAGCGCCCGGGATGCTGCGTGTCGGGATGCCGCCTCCTCCCGACCTGCGCTGCCCGGAAAGGGGCTGCCGTGAACACGGCGTAGTCAGACAGAACCTGCATCTTGGGTGTTTTTCTTGTTTATTTATTTATTAATTTTTAGAGGATTGTGATTCCCCAACTTTGTGCTCACAGTTCTGGTGTGGAATTTTGATTCTCGGGAGTTTGCATTGAGACTGATAAGTCTCTGAGTCAGGTTCTCCTGTATTTTTTCCCCCTCATTCGTACGATCTTTGTATTTTATTTAGAATATGCCCTTTCAGTGTGGCAGGTCTGTACCTGATTTGCTCAGGAAGCAGGTATCTTGGACTAGACTCTTTTGAGTGATTTATGTGTAATTGTAGCATCTTAAATAGTACTTAGATAATCTCCTGGATTTTGTTGACAGGGAGAACTTTCCATTTGAAGAAATTGCAGGCAAGGTGAGTGGTAGAAGGTGAAAAACAGCTGCTGTTATTTTTATTCCATTTAGTTTGTGTTGTGGTGGTCTTGTAGTGTCATTCTTTTAAGGTCTAATGATTCTTCAGTACTTTTATTCCTTAAACAAGAAAAATTGGATCCTTTAGCTAAGTCTCCATCATCTGTCGGAGGTTCTGTCCTTCGCCAGGTCTTGCTTTAACCTCCTTCCTCCAGGGCTGCACTCCAAGGTCTTGGTAATTTCCCGTTATCTTGGTAGGACCCTGTGATAACAGTTTAGCATTTTTTTGTGTTTGTGGCCCACAGTAAGGGCCTTGCTTGCTTTGGTGCGTAGTCACCGGCCTTCACGATTCGGGGCAGGATTGTACTGTTGTCTGAGAATTGTCCCAGAATGTCAGCTCACCATTAGACTATGGTTTTGCGTCTCTGCTGTTCTTGCACACTGATGGTAGCAGGTAAGCAAGTGTATTTCTGTTTATTTTTGTAAAAGCAAAATGTTAATTTTAAACCTTTTGCTGCTGAGCTAGTAGACCAAACAGCACAGCTGGGGGACGCGGATGGGGGGATGCAGGAGGGGCAGGATTGGAAAGCAACCCAGTGTTATTTAGTAAAACTTATCGGGATAACTGAGGGAACTGGCATGAAACAGGTGAGACATGTTGTTGTTCATAACCTATCCCACACACACACACAAAATATACCTGTCTTGTTCTGCCTTTTCAAGTAACAGGAAACCCATATTGGCCCCAGGCTGAAAATGTTAGTGAGAACAACTGCGAAAATAGGATTGGGTGGAAAACGAGGTTGCTAAATTCTTAAAAATTGTTCAGAGCGACTGTAAGAGTTCTTGTTGAGATTGTCATGATTAAAATACTTCGATGGCTTTGAAAACCTGTTTCACTCACTGCCTTGCTCATGTGAACCTGTGTATCCTTGTACGCTTTGGTTCGTGTTAATGTTGATGAGAGGCAGCAGGTTTACCAGGAGGTGCAGGGAGGCCCATTTATTTACAAGCAGCAGAGGCATTAGGGTAATATAAAGGTCTGTCCCAAGAAGGCGCTAAACTTGGTCATCTTTGACTGTATTTATTTGAACTTTTTATGTAGCAGCCTTTGTTTTTAGCAAATGTCTGTCCGGCTGAAAACAGGACCCACGTAGCCTGTCTGCACTAAATCTGGTTGTGAACTTTGTTTGTGGAGGCATGGGGGGTTGGAGGGTTTTGTCCTTAGCAGCGCTGCGAGCTGGAAATGTGGCTCCCATCCTAAATCCCAGTTCTGGCACCTCCTCAGAACAGCAGTCCATCTGCTAGCAGGACACACTGTGGGTTTTTCTTTCTTGTCAGTCCCTTAATAATTCCAAATACACATAATATTTCTGTGTCTAAAGGGGAGAGGCAGTTCGCGGTGCCTTGGTGAGCTGGCACCTGGGCACACTTTGCTCCTATTACACTGATGCCATCCAAGAAGATTACACACCTGTACGCTGACTTACTTTAGTAGGGCTTTTGTGTGTGTGGTTGTTTTCCTGTTAAAGAAAGAAAAAAACACTTCTATAATCCTTGCACAGTGCCTTGTTTATCAGTAACCTCTTCCGCCTGCCTGGAGGGCTACCTATATGCAAGTAAGAGCTATCAGATACTGTAATTCCTGGTGATATTTATTAGATATTTATTGGATAGGGGAGCTGATGTAGAGGTTGTGGGGCTACTTGGCCCCATACCCAAAGGTTGTATTTATTCCATAAAATCCTCCTTGTATAAGGAGAACACAGCTGGGTGCCCAGGTCCCTGCTTAATCCTGCAAGGTTTGCAGTTAGGGCTCCAAAAACAAGACAGGAATTAATAAAGTTGAGATCAGGACTTAACCTCACCTGAACTAACCTGATGTTAAAAGGAAGCTCCTCCAGTTTCTGGTTTGAGTCCTTTGCAGCTTGGACAGTATTCTACAGCTGGCAAAAAATGTCTTCCTAGAGGCAAGACTTGTCCCAGGACGTATAGATTCTGATCAGTATGTGCAGAGCTGTGAACCTTTCTTTTCCCTGATTATTATGTGATGTCAGGGTCATGCTTGTGGCCCTCTGTCCTGTTTTTGGTGCTGTTGTCAAAAATACTGTAAAAACCCAGGGGAAAGCCTAGCCCTTCATTTTGGGAGGAGGAGGACGATGAGATGGTTAGATGCCTCGTCCCACGTTAAAACACTGCTGGAATTTCCAGCTGAAATTTTGCAGTGCTCATGGTATATACAGAAGAATTGAAGAATAAGCTGGACTTTACGCTAATTGGTTGAAATGTCCTCCAAAATAACAGCTTTTCAGTGCACCCGCTCTCCTCCATATAGGCTGGGCCCTCCTGCATCCCGTGAGCCGCTTCCTTGCCTGTCGGGAGCTTCTTGCTCCAGCGGCTCCGCTGAAACCTCGTGGTGCTTTGCTTGGCTCTCGCCGCGCTCGTCCTCCCGAAATCC